TTCATATTTCTTATGCGAAATGTGTAAAGGTATCAATTTTGAGTTTGATTCATTTAAATAAAAAACACCATTATTTTGAGTTTACAGAAACGGTTTTATTCTAAAACCTCACTTCTCGAGTTCAGAGGGAAATTTTACAAAATTGAATTTGAACGAGTATGGGCAATCCGCTAGCGGAGATAGCTATCTCCACTCATCGCAGAGGCATTCATTTCCCAGTTTGAAACTGATTTAAAATCAGCTAACAAGCTGCCGCGCATTTGGCACCGCAATGTGGATGACGTATTCGCCGTTATAAAAAAGAGCAAGTTGAACAACATCGAAACTATGCTCAACGCACAATACACCGAAATCAACTTTACCAGCGAAATCGAAAAAGACAATAAATTAGTCTTTTTAGATTAAGAATTACAGAAGAAAAATAAACAAATTGAAATCGCAGTTCACCACAAAGCAACCAGCACAATGCGTTACATACCAAGTGAGTCATACGGTTTTCATTTTTTGATTGAATACAACACAAACTGGCTGATTTTCACTCACTCGCTCACCGTCTCGTTAACCTGCCTCTCTCAGTAGAGAACTACCAAAGAGAATACAAATACATCCTTCGCGCATCAAAAATCAACGGTTACAGCAGTAGTTTAGTTGATAACATCATCAAAAAACACTCGAATGCATTCAATCGAATTTGTCGACACTTTTCAACCAGAATAGAACCATCGACAAGAAAGATGATTTAAAACGGGTGTCGATGACGTTTGCACCGACAATAACAAACCACCTCATAACAACATTCAGAAACCACAACATGCAAATAGTTTATTCAAATCCGTTCAAAATAACAAAACAGCTGATCAGCACGAAAGACAGAAAAAACCATTTGGAGAAGCCGGGTATTTATCAAATCGAATGCAATCAATGCCATCAAAAATATTACGGCCAAACCAAACGATCTGTTGAACAACGTTTTAAAGAACATAAACAATACATTCTCAACAACGAACCGAGACGCTCCGCTTACGCACACCATGTAATCAGCGAAGACCACTGGCCGGTGAATTTGAGCGACATTCGACTGCTAAAGTGTGTGTAGGATGATGGGAAATTAGACGCCTATGAAAGCATGTACAAGTACATACAAAGAGACAGCGACGCTCTGAACGCCGACAGAGGTAACATCGAGTCGGAGTTATTCAAGTATTGTTTCTGATTTCGTCACACCGCATACCACACACAACACTCAACACACAGCATTATGTTTTTATTTTTATTTTTTGTTATGCCTTTTGTTCTCTCTCTTCTAAACGATAACCGAGATCAATACACAGCGTTTGTTTTAGTCGTGTCGCTGAAGATGGGGAGTATACTCCTTGAAATGCATACGAAGTGAGGTTTTAGAATAAAACCATTTCTGTAAACTCATAATCAAATAAAAAAAACTTCTTTCGAAGTAATTCCTCGTGACGAAAGCGAACACGAAACAGTTGATATCAATTTTAAAAAATCATTACGGTGCGATTCTGAAATTAGTTGGAAGAATGCAAAAAAAGCAAATCCAAATCGCTCCGAAATGATTTTTTAAAATTGATATCAACTGTTTCGTGTTCGCTTTCGTCACGAGGGATTACTTCGAAAGAAGTTTTTTTATTTGATATCAGTTGTTTTGTACCCGAATTTTTTTTTTCAACAAAACTAAATAACACTAAACAAACACAAAGTGGTGTGTATTGAGCCAAAGAAAATGAAACATGAAATGTTGTAGTTAAAATCGTTTTGATTTTTTCATGAAAAGTACTTTTTTGAGTTTTTAGTTGATTGCGTGGTATAAAAAGACTTGGTGAAGGGCTGGTATCCGGAAGAATTTTATTCATCTGAACGCAAAAACACTTTGGTTATGATTTTGACCTTTTTCACGGCAACAAAAATGAGTTTTAGTTGATTTTTGTCGATTTTTCATGTTTTTTCCAACTTCTAATGGCTATACAGTAGAACCTCGATTATCCGGCGGGCACGGGACCGAGCCTCCGCCGGATAACGAAAACGCCGGTTAATCGAGTTGAAACAAATTCTTACATTTCTCATATACATACTTTTGTTTCAATTGCAAGAACGGTTCTTTTGCGTTTTTGTGTGCCAGATGTGGATTGTTCTGGCTCCATTTTTTCAAATTGAATATGAGAACCGCTCGTCACAAAAATAGAAATGAAACTGACAGCAAAATTTGTACACATTTTTCGCGAGTGACGAAATCAGAGTCTCATTGCAAGCGAAAACGAAATCAAATCGATAACTCAGTGAATATGAATTTAAAAAAATAACCTGAGTAATGTAAATAAACTCAGCATGAAATTGGGCTGCGACAATTGAAAACAAGATATGCAGACATTTGTCGCGAGCGAAGAAATCAAATTGACGACCAAACATTTTATTTCAAACTATTGTTTATAAAATGAGTGATGTAAACAAACTCAATCTGAAAATGATATGCGATTAAATAATAACAACAAGCAAAATTGGACGTGCATGTAGAAGCATGAATTTGTTAGTTGCGCTGAGTATTTAAGTTTTGTCTGTATAAAATGTGTTTCTTGAAAAAAATCAATAGCTTGAGAGTGCGCCGGCTAATTGAGGTGCCGGTTAATTGAGTGCCGGATGATCGGGGTTCTACTGTATCTCGAAAAACAGAGTTTTCCCAGATGTAGGCTATATGTCAAATTTTAGCTCTAATTTGGGGCTATATTTGAGGCAATTTTGAAAAAATTCGTCGGAGCCGTTTTCGAGAAAATGGCCGATTTGTTCAAGGCCAGGTGACCATTTTTTGGGTTTTCAGCCCATAAGACCATGCTAACTTCATTTTTCAAAGCTCAAATAGGTGCCATTTGCTGGCCTTGAGACCTTTCCAACGATACCTAAAAGTCTGAAATCGGTTGACAGGGTTAGGCACAGTAGCCATTGGAAGGAAGGCCATTTTTTGAATTTTCAAAGGCCGGCCAAGGCCAAAATGGCGGCCGAATCAAAAAGTGGCGGAACAAAAAAGTCTTAGTTTTTGATATAGTTCAATGCCTGAAAGTTTGAAAAAGATCGGACAAAAAGTACGGACGGACGGACACACAGACAAAACTATTATCTCAGAATAATTGGTGGAGACAGCAAAGACAATTTTCAAATGGCCATAACTCATGAACTGATGGTCCGATTTCGACGTTCTTGGTCTTGTTGGAAAGGTCTCGACGAGAAACTTCAGAAAAACCATGTTTCGAGATGGCTAGGCCGCGTCCACCCCCCGGTAAATGGCAAAAACTGAGAATTGCTCCAAATTTTTAAGTGGCCATATCTATGGAGACGGTTGGTCGATTACCAAGTTTGAATGCATTTTCTGGGCATATGAGCCGAGGGCTTTCTGACGATACTTCATTCATACCAGATGGCCTCTTAGAAAAAAAGTTCGAAATTGCGTGTATATATAGGCGAGTTCGACTTTCAGCACAGAGGTGCTTTCGTCACTCGCGCCTGCTGTCGCCGGCTGTGATAATGATGTTTTTTATTTAAATGAATCAAATTATAAAGAGTTTGCGTAATTGTTTCCGAAAGTAAATACAAATCAATTTTGAGGTTAAAATCTCAACGTGTAGCTCCAAATATACGCAAAATCGATATCCGAGTCCAAAGACATTGTCGCAATCTGTCCTATGAACGTGCTTACCATAGTATAGAATAAGTTGTATACGATCGCGATATCTGTTCTATGCGATACTAAAATAATGCGTTTTACAAGTAAACCGTCCCAACTGTCACAAATGGATTTTAAAATTGAATATACAGATTGATTGGGGATGGAAAAAAAAATAATTTTGACAAAAGGGCAGCGGCCCCTTTTGGGGCATAGTGGGGATAGACCCACCCACTTTTCTAAACTTCGTCTGATCAAAAAATGATGTATGTCAAAGTTGTTCAGAATGATGAGGAGAATTTTTTGGGGCAGCCGCCCTTCCATTTTCCACCCCCTGGGGGATTGGGGAGGTCTTCTCCCCCAGGGGTTATACTTTTTTGACCTGAAACCGAAAAATTTGGATTCTCCATACCCAAATTAGTGAAAATATGTATTTTTCCAACGGCCATCCGCACCCAGTCTCCCAGAAATTGAACTGGCAGAAATCGCCCCTCATCTGGGGTCAATTATTACAGAGTCAATTTTCTACCTCTTGGAGTGGAAATTTTGCATAAAAGTGTATGACCAACTATAGCTAATTTCTCTAGTCTATCTATTTTACCCATGGGTCACCCCCTCCGGGCCCTTGTTTTGGGAGCCCCCATACAATAATTTTGAAAAAACCTAATTTTTTCTGTATATCGGGTAAAAAAAACCCTTCACCCCCGAACAAATTACATTTTTGGATTCCTCGTAAAAAATTACTTTTAGGTTTAGAACATTTCCCATAAAAAAAATCATCCCTTATGCTCTAAACCAAGGCCGGAATACATTAGAAGGTTTGGGGTGCGATTTGTTTAACATTCCGGCCTTAAATTAGGACATAAGGGATGATTTTTTTGATGGGAAATGTTCTGAACCTAGGGGTAATTTTTCACGAGGAATCCAAAAATATAATTTTTTTGGAGGGTTAAGGGGGGTTTGACCCTATTTTGGGGATGCATTGGTCATTTTTCGCTATTTTTTCACTTTTTGACCCTCCATTTCATTTCAGGGGTGGAGGGCAACTCCACCCAAGGTGTCATTTGATTCTCTGGAGTATCTTGAACATTTTATATCGACATATTTTTGTCCTCAAACCATTTCTAGTATGAGAAAATTGCATTTTTATGTAAAAAAAACATCAGACGAAGCATTGTAAAGATATATCCCCACTATGACCCAAAAGGAGCCGCTGCCCTTTTGTCAAAATTATTTTTTTTTCATTCTCCATCGATCTGTATATTCAACTTTAAAATCGACGTGTGACAGTTGGGACGGTTTACTTGTTAGACACATTCCAACAAAGAAATAACACAAATTTTATATTAATTTTGTAATCCTTGAAAATAATAGGCAATTTTCTAACCGATTGTTTGCACAGCTTTTACCGGAGATTGGTGGGAATCCAAACATTTTTATGTTACTGAAGGCTTGTGATAACAATGGACCAAAGGACTGTGCTATGATACCATTAAATCACTGTTTACACACACCAGGGGGTCCATTGAAGGTAAATTTTGATACATCAGAATTGTTTAATACTTTTTGAGAAAGATGAAAAGCTATATTTGTAAAACAAAATCAGATGAAAAACCTCTAGACGAGGTTAAAATGGAGTGACTTCACCACTCAAAAAGACTGATATCATTTTGAGTAACGCTAGGACGCTGTATTATTACTGGGTACGGAGTTCAGAAGTGTTTTTCGCATTCATTATTGTAAAAATTCATTCACAATAAGGAGAAATATCGCATCACGACTTTTGAATTTAGATCAAGTTTTCAAGCGTTTTGCCGTCTAAAAGTCCTGACGCGATATTTTTTCCTTATTGTGAATAAATTTTCACAATAGTGAATGCGAAAAATACTTTTGAACTTCGTATCCAGTGATAATACAGCGTCCTAGCGTCACTCAAAATGATATCAGTCATTTTGAGTGCTAAATCCACGCACAGGAGCGTCACACAATTTTAACCTCGTCCAGAGGTTTTTCATCTGATAACACTACTTTTGTAAGGCAATTATTTTCGGAAAAATACACTTCCGCCAGATAAATGTCATATTATTAGATATTATTGCTATTTTTTTCGTAAAACATTTGCATCCATATTTCAGGGTTTTAATTTTCCCATCCGCTCGATAGAGCCTCTATCGATTCAATCGAAGGAGTTTTTCAAAAGAGACTCTTTCAAAAGAATCTTTGCAAAATTTTTCAATATTCTGCTACAAATTATGGCTGTAAACTATTGGGTCTGAGAATTAGTTTTGTCGATTTTTTTAAATTTTCAAACATTTATTTGAATACCAAAATGAAATTACATTTCAATCAAAATATTGTCCATCGGAAGCGATGACCTTCTGCCACAATGTGGGCAATTGACGGATGCCTGCCTTAAAAAATTCCTCATCTTTTGAGGCTATAAATGCATCGAGCCAATTTTGGATTTCTTCAACTGAAGAGAACCGCTCTCCGTCCATATGGTTTTGCATCGATCGAAACAAATGGTAGTCGGAAGGAGCCAGGTCTGGGCTATACGGGGCGTGAGCCAAAACTTCCCATCCGCTATTTTCCAAGTAGTTTTTGACCGATTTCTCAATGTGTGGCCGAGCATTGTCATGTAGGAAAATCAATGTCTCTTTTCTGGTCTCCCATTTCGTGCGTTTTTCTTTGATTGCTTGTTTCAAACGTATCAATTGTTGTCGGTAGAAAGGCCCATCGATGGTTTGACCACTTCTCAGCAGCTCATAATACACCACTCCCTCCTCATCCCACCAAATAGACAGCATTACCTTGTCGCCGTGAATTTCTTGTTTTGGCTGTGATGTTGCTGGTTGGCCGGGCTTAACATACGATGCTTTGCGCTTGGGGTTATCGTAATGAATCCATTTTTCGTCACCAGTGACAATTCGATACAGAAAACCTCTTTTTTTGTGCCTTGCGAGCAGCATTTCGCAAGTCACTAAACGCCTTTCAGCTTGCGCTGGCGTCAATTCATGTGGTACCCAATTTGACAACTTGCGAATGAAACCAAGGGCCCTTAAACGATATCCAACAGTGCTTCGGTCAACATTCAATGCTCTGGCAAGCTCATCTTGAGTTTGACTCGAATCTTCATCGAGCAATGCCTCCAATTCCGCATCTTCAAACTTTTTTGGCTGGCCGGGACGTTCCTTGTCTTCCGTGCTAAAATCACCACTTTTGAACCGTGAAAACCACCGTTCACATGTACGTTCCGATGGAGCATGCTCACCATAGGCTTCCACCAACATTCGATGCGCTTCAGCCGCAGTTTTCTTTTAAATTTTATTAAAATATTCGATTTCGTTTGATCCATGTTTTGACAATCGTCGTACAACGATTTGTGACATTTCACCATACACTGCAACTTAATGCCATATTTGACATTTATACGATTGTCAAAATATGCATCAAATGAAATCGAATATTTTAATCAAATTTAAAACAAATAAATTTTTTTTAGTTTTTTTTCTTCAAAGTATTGAAATATAAATCAAAACCAATTATTTGAATATAGTTTACAGCCGTAATTTGTACCAAATTATTGAAAATTTTCGCAAAGATTCTTTTGAAAGAGTCTCTTTTGAAAAACTCTTTCGATTGAATCAATGGGGGCTCTATCGAGCGGATGGGGGAATTTAAACCCTGCCATATTTCAAAAACTCAGGAAATAGTAAATTTCCACTAACATCGAAAAAGTTCCATTTATCCCAAATTTCACACTGTAGAATGCGATAAAATTTCAAATAGCCATAAAAGGAATGTTGAAGTAATTGTGGATCCATTTTATTTCATTAAAAAATAATTGTTCTCAACTACCAAAGCTCTAGGAAATGCGTTTTTTATGTATCCCCTGAACAAAAGTTCAATTTCATACATTCAGATGCAAAAATGCCGATTTATGACCAAAATGACAACGAAGCGTGTATTTAGGTGTTGGTAGACTCCCATTATTTTCACGAAAAAATAGCAGTTTTCTAAGACCAAAATGTCGTCAGAGGTCTATTTCACGTGTTTTCCGAACAAAAATGTCATTTTCAGTGAAAATAGAGCAAGTTGAAAAATTCACTTCAATCCGACCTATTTTTCGACCATGAAATGGCCTCAGATCGCATTGTGACCACTTTTAATCGATTGCTCGTCGAAAATTGAGCGGATTTGGTCTTTCGTGAGCCTTTTTCAGCCAGTAGATGCGTATTTTTGACAGCAATTTCATCGTAGAATGCGACTCTTCGTACAAATTCCGTTCATTGATGAATTGCCTATGCCCAGAACTTCGAAATACGAATTTTCCCGGATATGTGGCATATGCCATTTTGTTGGTATGGTAGCCGGCTACAAACGCTCAGTTTTCGGTAACACATTGTAGGGCTGATTTTTGAGAAATCACGTTTGGTGTGAAATTTAAGGGGGTCGATTTTTCATAAACATCGACTTTTTTCTTTTATATCACATAAACATTGGCATGTGTGTATGGAACTTTTTGAAGGTCTTCTCAAATAATTACGAGCTGACTTTGCCCGATGGGCGTCTGAGTTGATCTAGTGTGCGAAATAAATACTTGAAAAAATCGTATACATGCAGGCTAGTGAAGCCATAGCCAGCTCTCCTGTAATGCAAATGTCAATCTGAGGACGGGTTTCGATGTGGCCCGACACCAGCTACAGCTTAGGCATATCGGCACCGGAATCTGTGAGGGTCAAAAAAGTTTCCGGACAGACGGACGGACGGACGGACGCACAAATCAATACTTTCATAAAAAATCAAGATCAAACTACCAATGCCCATAACTTTTTCGTTTTTGAATCAATCGGGGCACTTAGACTGGCGTTGGAAAGGCGGCGAGGAGGAGATCAGATCACCCCCTGGGTACCCCGTTCGTAAGATATGGGTATAGATTTGAAAATTTATCGAAATTTTCCAACCACTATATTTTTGCCTAGACCACACTTTAGGCATAGGGGATATGGTATTTCCGACTATTTGGGCCAAGACCTTTCCAACGGTACCTAACATGCCGGGGCCCAAATAGTGTCCTGAGAAAATAGCATATTTACTGTATACTCGTGACGCAAAAACTGACATTTTTGATATTTGGCTTGAAATGCACAGTTGTTGGAGCGTCACTTGTCGGACTATCGTCCTCCGTGAACTTTCATAGAAAGACAAGATCAAAATTCCAATGCCCATAACTTTTTCTGTTTTGGACCAAACGGAACGCTTAGACCGGCATTGGAAAGGTGGCGAGGTGGAGCTTCTCTTGGGCACTTCAGACTATCCTCTGGGTACCCCCTTCGTAAGATATGCGTATAGATTTGAAAATTTACTATATTTTTGACTAGACCACACTTTAGGCATGGGGGTTATGATGTTTCCGACTATTTGGGCCAAGACCTTTCCAACGGTACCTAAAACCGGGGCTCAATAGTGTCCTGAGAAAATAGCATACTTACTCGTGACGCAAAAACAGTGAAACATTTTGCTTGAAATGCACAGTCTGTGGAGCGTCACTTGTCGGACTACCGTCCTCCGTGATATACAGTACGCCCCCGAAAATTAGAATTGAAATGTCCCGAGACCATTTCCAATTTGCGGAGTTTTCTAATTTCTGAGGTTTTTTCAATTTCATCCAAAAACGGTGTATCAAATGAAAAACTGATAGGGGGGGAATGATTTGCTTAATTGAAAACAATATATTGAACACTGTTCAATCAAGTATTGTATTTAAATACATGCTTATAAGCAGTTATTTTAGTGATTATAAATATATAGTAAGTCTGTTAGTTTATTTTACTGGATAAACTACTCCTCGGAACAAACCGAAATAAATGATGACCTATCTTACGATGTAAACAGAAAACGTTAGCATTCTATATACAATTTTGTATATGCAAATTCTCTGATGGAACAAGTCGGTTTCGATTTGTTAATAATTGATGATTGATGATTGACGCAGACAATATGGAACAGATTTCTTCTTGACTTAATTTTTAACTTCATGGTAAACGTCGAAAATCTCAAGCTGATCTGCTAATATAGTTATTCAACGAAATGGAAAAGACTTTCATTACGTTTTTTCATTAAAAATGAAGTAAATTTCCCTTTGTCTTGAACGAAATGATTCGGAAACCCCGTAAATTAGAAATTTTCCATACAAATTTTCAAACCTGAAATTCATTTCTAATTTCTGAGGTTTTCTAATTCTCGGGTTTCTAATTTGCGGGGGCGTACTGTAGTTTTATTTTACATAAATTTTGGTTCTCGACTATTTAAAAAATATTTTTTCGTGCCTCTTACCTAATCATGTTACAAGATGTTTGAAAACTTTCCGATTTATCACATTGTACAGTATTCTCTTGAAGGACATCAATTTGCTGTATTTGGATTTGTTCTTACCAACGATTTAAGATATATGGTTTCGATTTCTACACGTTTCATAACATGGGATTTGTCAACATCTGATCTACAGCGCGACGTTAATCCAGGAATTGAGGGAATAATGCAGCAACTTATATTGAGCCCAGACAATAAATGGGCAGCAGCATATTCAAACAATAATCAAACAGTGTTACTTAACATGCTTTCAAGTGAATTTGTAATAATTGAAAACCCATTCGGCGACGGTGAATGTGTCACAGGAGTTTTTCTACTAAATCAAAAGTAATTTTATTTGCTACCTGTTGTAATGTATTGCTCTGATTCCTTTAATACTGAGGCGTTGAAAAACAAATTGGAGAAAGGTGGATCACTTGACTTAAGTACATATTATATTCTATTTTCATAGCTTATTTATTCACACAAAACGTAAATGGGCGTCTTTTGATATGCGAGGCAACTTCATTGGGCGATTTGATGTCGTAGACGTGAATGATGAATGGGAAATCTTGAGTAAGATTGCCAATTTATATAGCATTCTTGAGTATAACTCAAATTGAGGAAAAATAAATAAAAATTATACTTTGTTATCGTTAAAGTGATGCATATGTTCGAGCCAACTATATATCATATCATTTATTGGTCTGGACAGATTACCAGTGGCCGCTTAAGAATTGATTCATTTTCGAATGGTTCTCAAACGGATCCGCTTCTCTATTACAGCGTATTAACATCAAATAGGCAATGGGATCGCCTGTTTTGTTGCACAAAACCAGACAATTTTTCAGTTTCAGAATATGAATATCATTATAATGAAGACAAAAATGCATATATTTGGAAACATTTACAAGATCTTGATTCTTATGATAATTACGAAAAAGAACAACTGCTACAGGTGAATTTTCTAATAATTGAAAAATTATTATCTGATTCACTACACAGTTGAAACTGTATAAATATGGTCAATCTGTTTCACTTTTACAGTTGAAGCTAGATCAAGGTGATCGTTTTTTGATTGGCACTGCTGGAAAAGGATTCATTGTATGGGATTTTAATGAAGAAAGTCGAATCGGAGTTGGAGCAATTTATTTACCATTGCCACACGGTGTAAGGAACATTTCAACAAAGATGATGACATCAAACTCTATGATGATAAGTTCGAAACTTGATTACTCTGTGGCTGGTGTTCGGTTCGTTTTCATTATACGTACCCGATAATTAAACACGAATTAATGTAAATTGTCATTGAATCATTTAGGAAAAATTTATATATTTGGTGTTTGCAAACCCGACAATTGGTTAAAGTATTGGATGCCCATTTTGGGCGAATAATACAGTTAGAAGCATTGACCATAGGCAATTGGAATTGTGCTATTACATCATCGATTGATCGTTCTGTTAAGGTATGGAACATAGTATCTAATTCGAAGAAAGAAAAAAAAACAATAAATTATAATACATTATATATCTATGGGTGAGATTGAGAGTAGAGTATGTTTTTTTCTTCGATTTATATTTTTGAAAAGGCGAGTATGTTTTCTGATGATTCTGGCGTTAAAGTAGATCATGCTTACATGTGTTGAAAAACAAATATAGAATTCATGATAAGCAAACTATATTTAG